GGGCATTTGTAAATATTAGTTTAGAAATACAGATCGACTAATTATAAAGGCAGAAGATGTAAGAGTGAATAAAAACCATTTCCCGTCAAATTAAAGGAAAGCTTGGATATGACATGCAATATGCAGGTATAAAGTTGTAGACAAAAATAAAAAACATTTTTAACGTTGTCACGGATATTACGAGTGCCGTAACAAAGTGTTGACGAGTTTCACATGCATTTGTCAAAACAAGCTTAAGTAGACAAAGAGCATGCCAAAAATATATTATGGAAAACTTGCTCAACTTGCTTCAGCTTGCTTGCATCTACAAGCAAAAATTTCAGAGCTCGCTCTGTCACAAATTAATTGAGAATCTGAGCATGCGTTGTCAACTCCACAAACTCTCCAAGCTCATGGTAACGACCAACTGGATGTACTAGTACCGATTTTGGAGTAATTAGCTCGCTCAGTCACACGTTTTAAGACAAATCATCTGCGCATGCGCAGTAACGATAACAATCATCCCACAACTTTCGTACGCCTTTAAATTTTGGTATATATATATAAAGCTAAAACTTCATATAGTAGATTTCAACTAGCAGTGGAAGCTGGGTGCGATATAGTATGCAGTGGCTTAGGGGCCCTCACTTCGGTGGCGACCGCACTCTCCCTGCGTACCCTGAGCAAAGCCTATCGCAGGTGATCTCAGGGTCTGATGGGCGGAAGCTTGCTATTGGCATCTCCCAAGTAGGATAGCGTGTAGGGGCCGAAATATCCTACCGAAACGTTAACATGCGGCGTTCTAGTGCCTTGCGCTTAAGAAGGTATCGGGAAGCATGGACCGAAAACGGGGTTTTGCTTTCGAATTTTATCTTTTGTTTTCTTCTCATAAAACAAACCAAGCAATGTTTCAATTAAATTCTTATGACCCTGTCTGACACTTATAAATAAAGACAACCTTAAACAAGTTTTATATCAATTTTATCGGTTTATATCTTTCTGATTTAACTCTCCCATTTACTGTTTCTCATGTATCAGAGCAAACCATCCATATGTTTCATGGAAAACAAACAAGGATTATGTGGTTCCCTTAGTTAACATGCGACGCTCTAGTGCTCAACTATCTCGGGTATCGGGAGGCATCAACCGAAAACGGGATTGTTTGGTTTCAAAATTTATCTTTTTACAAGAATTCTTCTCATAAAAAACTAGAACGTCCAAGGATACTTCAAAGGTTCAAAAAATTTCTGCCTTTTTGAACTTTAACTTAAACAAACACTAAGCATGTTTATACGTTTTTTACTTATTACCTTTTACAACGTAACTTTCTCATAACTCTCTCGTGATGAACGAGCCTCCTTATACAATATGACTCTTTCATCATGAACGAACGCATCCATGGGCTTCACGGAAAAAAGGGATTATGTACTTTGTTATAATAGTTTCTACAAAGATAACATTTATTAAGCTAAGAAATTTGAAAATAAATATATTTGAGTTATTAGCAAATAACAAGTCGAGAATTCATTGACCATACTCATTCCAATTGGTCTGGAAGAACCATGACATTTATAATTTTGACCATCCAACCCTTTATCAAGGGCTATATTGTTAATTAACGACAGTAACTTCATACGTCGTTCTTGCTGAACACCTTCAGGTGAAGTAGGATCATCAATAATCTGTTATATATAAAAACATAATTTATCCATAGAATTATAGCAAAGTTACGATGGACAGATGAGAGTTATTAACGCTATAAAACTTAAATTCAATATATCGTATAAAGTACCTCAAATCCCGACGATTTCTCGTATCGAAAGGATTCTAAAGTAAAGATGAAAATTAAGATGAGAAATTTCGAAGAATTGAAACTAGAGAATTTTTCAACAAAAAAATGTTGAAAATACCTGTACTACCACAAGATTCTTCAATGTCTATGCTCTAAAATAATAGTCATAAAAACGACAATTTCAAAAAACATAAAAAAACTAAGTATTTGTAACATTGGTGAAAGATACAGGATAAACATGAAACATCCTCAGACGACGATGGAACGAGACCATAACCATTTGATGTGAGCTTCTTCCAAACAACGTTTGCGTAATCCGTTAGCATACCATGAAAACTAACTTCTGGTTTAGGCGACGCTTTACTAGCAACCTCCTCAACGTCTTAAGGACATTGAACGTATATTGAACTGGTGTCAAAAGGCTCAATGACGATGACCAACCACTGGCCATACTTAACATGTTACCACGAGAGATCTTTCTTGGGTAGATCAAGGTTTTAGGAACTTCAGACAAGGGTTGTGTTGAGCTGAGAACTAAAAAAGAACAAATATGGATAGACGATGAAGTGGAGAACAAGAATAGAGGTTATAGAAGACACACTACGTATGCTCATTGGTGTTTCACAAGAGTATACATTACAGGATAACTATGGATCCAACTAGTCTAAACAACTAGGTACATTTAAGCAATCCATCTTTCCCATGGTAAACACACGTGTCAAAAAAACGTGATCAAATTAAAAAATTCGTGCAATCAAATAGTCGGACATGGTATTGTATTTGTAGAAGAGAGCCAATAAAATAAAAAGATTCTCTTGGGGCATTTGTAAATATTAGTTTAGAAATACAGATCGACTAATTATAAAGGCAGAAGATGTAAGAGTGAATAAAAACCATTTCCCGTCAAATTAAAGGAAAGCTTGGATATGACATGCAATATGCAGGTATAAAGTTGTAGAGAAAAATAAAAAACATTTTTAACGTTGTCACGGATATTACGAGTGCCGTAACAAAGTGTTGACGAGTTTCACATGCATTTGTCAAAACAAGCTTAAGTAGACAAAGAGCATGCCAAAAATATATGATGGAAAACTTGCTCAACTTGCTTCAGCTTGCTTGCATCTATAAGCACCAATTTCAGAGCTCGCTCTGTCACAAATTAATTGAGAATCTGAGCATGCGTTGTCAACTCCACAAACTCTCCAAGCTCATGGTAACGACCAACTGGATGTACTAGTACCGATTTTGGAGTAATTAGCTCGCTCAGTCACACGTTTTAAGACAAATCATCTGCGCATGCGCAGTAACGATAACAATCATCCCACAACTTTCGTACGGCTTTAAATTTTGGTATATATATATAAAGCTAAAACTTCATATAGTAGATTTCAACTAGCAGTGGAAGCTGGGTGCGATATATTATGCAGTGGCTTAGGGGCCCTCACTTCGGTGGCGACCGCACTCTCCCTGCATACCCTGACCAAAGCCTATCGCAGGTGATCTCAGGGTCTGATGGGCGGAAGCTTGCTATTGGCATCTCCCAAGTAGGATAGCGTGGAGGGGCCGAAATCTTCTACCGAAACGTTAACATGCGGCGTTCTAATGCCTTGCGCTTAAGAAGGTATCGGGAAGCATGGACCGAAAACGGTGTTTTTTGCTTTCGAATTTTATCTTTTTGTTTTCTTCTCATAAAACAAACCAAGCAATGTTTCGATTAACTTCTTATGACCCTGTCTTGTTCTGACACTTATAATTAAAGACAACCCTAAACATGTTTATACCACTTTTATCGGTTTATATCTTTCTGATTTAACTCTCCCATTTACTGTTTCTCATGTATCAGGAGCAAACCATCCATATGTTTCATGGAAAACAAACAAGGATTATGTGGTTCCCTTAGTTAACATGCGACGCTCTAGTACTCAACTATCTCGGGGTATCGGGAGGCATCAACCGAAAACGGGATTGTTTGGTTTCCAAAATTTGTCTTTTTCTTTACAAGAATTCTTCTCATAAAAAAAACTAGAACGTCCAAGGATACTTCAAAGGTTCAAAAATTTCTGCCTTTTGAACTTTAACTTAAACAAACACTAAGCATGTTTATACGTTTTTTACTTATTACCTTTTACAACGTAACTTTCTCATAACTCTCGTGATGAACGAGAGCCTCATTATACAATATGACTCTTTCATCATGAACGAACGCATCCATGGGCTTCAAGGAAAAAAGGGATTATGTACTTTGTTATAATAGTTTCTACAAACGATAACATTTATTAAGCTAAGAAATTTGAAAATAAATATATTGGAGTTATTAGCAAATAACAAGTCGAGAATTCATTGATCATACTCATTCCAATTGGTCTGGAAGAACCATGACATTTATGATTTTGACCATCCAACCCTTTATCAAGGGCTTTATTGTTAATTAACGACAGTAACTTCATACGTCGTTCTTGCTGAACACCTTCAGGTGAAGTAGGATCATCAATAATCTGTTATATATAAAAACATAATTTATCCATAGAATTATAGCAAAGTTACGATGGACAGGTGACAGTTATTAACGCTATAAAATTTAAATTCAATATATCGTATAAAGTACCTCAAATCCCGACGATTTCTCGTATCGAAAGGATTCTAAAGTAAAGATGAAAATTAAGATGAGAAATTTCGAAGAATTGAAACTAGAGAATTTTTCAACAAAAAAATGTTGAAAATACCTGTACTACCACAAGATTCTTCAATGTCTATGCTCTAAAATAATAGTCATAAAAACGACAATTTCAAAAAACATAAAAAAACTAAGTATTTGTAACATTGGTGAAAGATACAGGTTAAACATGAAACATCCTCAGACGACGATGGAACGAGACCATAACCATTTGATGTGAGCTTCTTCCTAACAACGTTTGCGTAATCCGTTAGCATACCATGAAAACTAACTTCTGGTTTAGGCGACGCTTTACTAGCAACCTCCTCAACGTCTTCAGGACATTTAATGTATACTGAACTGGTGTCAAAAGGCTCAATGACGATGACCAACCACTGGCCATACCTAACATGTTACCACGAGAGATCTTTCTTGGGTAGATCAAAAGTACCTCGACGTTATGAAAAGCCGAATGTAATCTTTTAGAACGGTATGAGATATTGCATATGATCCAAACCATACAATCCTGTTTTCAATGCCATCATAATTCTTTTTCGTAGCACAAGAGGAGCAAGGTCTACAATACACTAAATAATTTATTTAAGTCAAATAATTATGAAGTGAAGCGTAACCTATAACAAATCAGAACTTACCCTTCACATCATGGATTGAACAAAAGTACGCAACTGAACACAAGTCTACGTACAACGATTCATCTTGAATAGAACGTTTATCCCACTCTGCACCACAAGAACAAATACCACTTTCAGATGACGCCAAAATTTTATGACCATTTTTTTCTGGAAGATCAGTAAAATCGCTTGCATCATTCTCATTGCCTAAAATAATTAAATTGTAATATTTACAAAATGCTAGAAAGTAGCCAATTCAAAATAGTCTCGCATCTGGTGTAATTCCAAAGGAAAACTTAAAAAGTGCCAATGGAGAATCCATTTCATCCTCGTCAACGATTTGCAAGGGTTGTCACATGAATGCAATGATATGACGAATAGCTGCAACATTTTAACTCGGGGTGGGGCGGCATTACTTTTGAATACACAAAAGTACAAACCCCCCCCCCCATGGACTATTCACTGGTTTTACAGCAATCCACTGAACCTCCCTGCACACTGCACTAAACAAGTCCTAAAATATGTAAAATCATTTATCTTAAGGTTGTATTATGTGTGTGTATGTATGTGTGTGTATGTGTATGCAGATTAATAATTATGATTAATTATGACTTCACAAAATCCTTAGAAAGTGCTTAATATATATATATCAGGCACGTAAAGCAAATGGTGAATATGACTTTACTATTTTTGTCATACATTTAGTTTATACTACTTAATGTATGTACTGTAAGTATGTGGCTATGTATGTATGTGAGTATGAATGTTTATACCTCAATAGTCATAAATAAATTCAATTTGCCCTGTTGGTTATCACCCTAATAGCTTTATAGAAGCTCCTGAACTTAGGCACAGGATGTATGGTAACAAATTGTGGGGTATTAGAAGGTTGAGAAACAATACGTGTATTTGTACAAAAAAGTTATTTTCACATAACAAAATATACTTCTTCAGGTTGCATCTCATGGTAGGAATGATCACTGAAAACAGACTGCATCATGGATGTGGATTCTGCATTCTTAAAAGAAATTGATGAGATAAATATATTGTGTAAATAATCATTCACAAGTTTTAACAATATTTTTGCTTGTAAAGCTGTGCTGGTTAACATCCACATGTAATAAGAACAATGTCGAACAAGGGTCTTGTAAAAACACAGAAGGATGACTTCACAAGGGTTTGAAATGTCCAATAAACTGATATTTAAGGATGAAGACATTTTCTCCCATACCACATGAAGAACTTTACATTGAAAAAATAAGCCAAATACAAATTTGAGACATTCACTACATGCAATGTCAGATTAATATGTAACAAGTTCTCACATCTTTGACAAGGGTCTTGAAACAAATAGTATGTAAGTGTAAGTCAAAATTTGGTGAAGCTGTTCAGACACCTTATATCCTGAAAGAGTAACACACAACACTTACTTTTTTCAATATAATCTTTGGCTTCAAAACCAAACTTTCTATCATACACAACCAGATATTTTTTCCATTGCTAATATGTGTATGCAACTAGGATATGGTATATCTGACAAGTACAAAAATGTTGTTTGGCCTGTTTTAATCATTTCATTTCAGTAACATCTATTTTACATACCTTTTTGAGGATCTAATTGTATATTATTAGGTAGGGCTTCAACAAATTGCTTTCTATTTGCATCACATGAGCAGCACAATATCCAACCATAGCCATCAAGCAATAGGTGGGGATATCGATGTACAAATACAAATGAATTATGCTGAAAAAAATACATTCAGATTATAGCACCAAAAAAAGCGTATTGAGTAATATCATTTAGTTGGGTATATACCCAACATTGAAATTATGGAAATAAAATTTGACATCACCATAATTGTTCTTTTGTTTGCATTATAATCATGAACAACAAAGGATTGCTGTGATACATTTGATGCAAAGTCAAACTGTAACAATAGCCCAGTATAGTGGCCAGTGGGTGACAAATGACTCTGAAAGAGCAAGTACACAGTAATTATTAATGTTCACTGTTTCAAAAATATCTATTGTAATATATTTTTATGTTTGTTGAGCACATTTCTACCAGATGTTAATAAAGTTTTGCTACACAGTGTTTCATGCATAAGCCATCAACAAGCATATTGTCAATTTATAACACATTAAAAACATGACTAGTGGTAAACAGTATAAAGTATAACTGTATATGTGAGAACTACTTGACTATGTTGACATGGTTGTTTGGGTTCCTCTGTAATAATAGAGATAGATTGCTTGGTAAAGATATCTTCAGAGTCCTACAAATAAAGACCATTATTTAATTTAAAATGTGTACAGACTTTTAATAAGTGTTTAAATAATGCATGCCTTCTTTAAATTACTTCAAATTTTTAGTTATTTCTAGTGAAAGCAGTCCTACATATAACCACTTCCAATGACTTTTCATGAGAAACAATATCAATATGTACATTAAAACCTGTGTTTTGGTGGTTAACTCTTGGTGCTTGTCATAATTTTCAGCAATATCTTCACTTTGTTCATTCTACATATAAATGAAAAAAAACCCATAAACATAGCGTATTTTTATATCTACATAGTTTTACAATATATGTAAACTTACCAAATCCCCAAATTCATTTTCTTGTTCAAAAAATTGAGATTCATATGACACACTGCTATTCTATTAACATATATGACATTGTGATTAAAGGATGTAGAGAATCCAGACTTGAAATTGGAAAATGTGCTCGAATAAGTGTTTTTCCTTACACCACATTGTGGGCATAAATAAATTTGTACACATACTTTTGTCAATATAACTGTGGTAATAAAAATAAATTAATATGAAATTGTGCAACCAGAAACAATAAAAGAACACTTTAAAATTCCTACCGCATCATCTTTTTGTGTTCCTTTCCTCTCCACGTTATTGTAAAAGAAGTCATTTGAGCGTCTGAATTTCTTCCTGAATTGATAAATTTTGCAAGTGTACCCAAAAATTAATACCCCGATTTATAAAAACCAGTACTGCACGTGTTCTTGGATTGACAAAGTTAGCCTAGAATTAGTCATAATTAAGTACCATTCTCCCAGCCAGACTTCCCGATAGATATTTAAAAAAGTACTAAGCATAGCACTGAGTGACTGAGCCCTGTTGATCGATTGCCTTGCTTCGAACTTTTGATGTTGCAAACTCCTAAAAAATATGAATACGCGAAGAAATATTGTCCTCATACATGAACTTTGAAAATGTAGTAAATGGAAGCCCTGAAATTTCTTCTTAAGCTGCACCAGTCGGATAATATACACGATATAGTTAACATACCACTTGTTCAGAATACGCCTTTTTGAAAGCATGTCCATAATTATTCACTATCATCCATTGTAACCACTATCAACATCCTAATGTCATTGGTCAAAAATAGTCACATGTTTGATTTACTTTTGCCTTTCATTCATGTCATTTCTAGATATCAATTTTCTTATTCGTCCAACGTTCAATCAATAATAAAAAAATATTAATTGTAAATTTTATTATAGCAAATGAACGTGACGCCAAGAGTTTGTAAAGCATATGCAATTTTTCGTCGTGGTATAGTGAACTATCTATCTCGACCTTATTTAAACCTGAACATTTTTACGAAGATGGTTCGAAGTTCTCTGCAATCTCTCACCAGTTTAAAGAAGCAAAGACAAAGTAGGATCTTTAACTCAAGATCCAGGGAATGAATTGAAGTTAAAGATGTACGCCCTTTTTAAGCAGGTATTTTACGATTCATAAAGATATTGTATCCGGTTTTTACATAAAGCTTGAACATTAGTTGTTGTATCTCCTAACTACAAGCTCTTCAATTAAATGGTGACTTTAAATTTTTAAGCACAATGTGCATCATTGCATTTGAATCACATTTTTGCAAAGGCACAGTGAATTTTTTTCAATTATAACTGTTCACAGTCCCACCATACAATACAATCAAAGTTAAAAATAAGACGAACCCAAATAACAATATACATTTCCAGGGTTCTTTAGGCAAATGTAATACACCAAAGCCTGGGACTTTGGACTTTGTTGGAAAGGCAAAATGGAATGCATGGAACGATTTGGGTGATTTATCACAGGTGAATATTTAGTTTAAGAAAGGCTGCACTTATCTTATAATGAACATTCAATATGTATCTAGTTTCAAACATCACCAAAGGACTGTATCTTTCAACAATTTTATTGAACACTCTCACAAGTTATAGATCACAACGTTTGCTAATTTATATTGCTACTTTGAGACTGGTTACATGACGTTTCTGCAACACACCCGAGGTCAAAGTTCGTATGTATTAAAATGCAGCAATGTGTATAGTTCGTTATTGAGGATAACGTGAAGATTATTTTAATTAGGGAAGGATATTTCTACGTTATAGTTAATTGTAACTGTTTAATTTCAACTTATGTTTACATTAAAAGACATCCTTAAGCCAACTTTACTAATATTGATCGCTATTTTCGTGTTATACATCTATAATCATCTTGTTAAAGATTTGAAGCTTTGCTGCGATAATACAGGTTTGTACAGCTATCTCATCTTTGTTTGTTGCCTATCTAATAGCATGTCAACTCCGGGGAGCAGATTTTTTATCGAGATTTATATGAAATTAGAGATTGTCGTACGTCTATCTAATATCTTGAGCATGAACGATATGTTGTTGAAAGATAAGTTTACATATACTCTAGCGTAGTTTCTTCATCAGGAGTGATCTAATGTTGAAACGTGAGTGTCACTATATGCTCCAGTCTTATGTCTTTGTCAGGAGTGATCTATTATTGAAACTTTCGCTAGTGTTATTTAACCATGTTATCTAAAAACTTTATCCTCCATAGTCCAATTTTGTATTTGTATTTCCACTTGTTTTCTTTAATGTTTTAAACTAATGTTCTTCTTGACAGCAGAGAATTATTCTCATTATGATTTGGTCATTGGAATACTTTCGTCGCGCGGCAACTTTGATTTGAGGCAAAGTTTACGTGGATCATGGGTTGGCTATGCAAGACGACATTCATCGCTCAATAAAAGGTAAGCACAGGAAAAACACTGAATTTTCTTATTGAGGGTAGCTGTAGTGTATTTTGTGTTCAATTAGAGCTACTTAGCGTGTGAAACGTTACAGCAAACACAATATTTGTGAAGATAAAGTGTAGAACAGTGTTTCAAATTGGCCTGTCGCGTTTACAACGTATTTCTTCAATACCAGAAAACGTTTACAACGTATTTCTTCATTACCAGAGAACGTTTACAACGTATTTCTTCAATACCAGAGAACGTTTACAACGTATTTCTTCAATACCAGAGAACGTTTACAACGTATTTCTTCATTATTAGAGAACGTTTACAACGTATTTCTTCAATACCAGAGAACGTTTATAACGTATTTCTTCAATACCAGAGAACGTTTAAAACGTATTTCTCCAATGCCAGAGAACGTTTACCACGTATTTCTTCAATACCAGAGAACGTTTACATCGTATTTCTTCAATACCAGAGAACATTTACAACGTATTTCTTCTATACCAGAGAACGTTTACAAAGTATTTCTTCAATACCAGTGAACGTTTACAAATTGTTTCTTCGATACCAGTGAACGTTTACAAAGTATTTCTTCAATACCAGAGATATGTTAGGTAGAATAAGCTGATTACCATAATGAGCAACGTTTAAGCAATTGTCAGATCTACGTAGAATCGAATTGGACATTTTTAGCTGACCGCCATTCTTTAAGTAGTGTAGCGTTGTGCGTTTCTATGATGGCCTATAGAGTATACCAACAACAAGGTTTTTAGTTTCGTTTATCAGTTTTGTTCTACACAAGAACAACTCATGCAAACTACATTCTTTGTCATATGATAAATTTAACTGTGTTGACTAACTTCATTGTATTGAGGCTAAACTCGAATATTCACAAGAAATAACGGTTACGGTACACTTGCCCAAGATATCACCATCTTACAGGTTTGTGAAAGCTCTTCAATAAATAATAGAAAAATGCGTGTTGGTATCTTGGGAGTTGGGAGTACGTAGAGGTATCTTGGGATTTTAGAGTATATCAATCTGGTGGTTTAAGTAGCTTGAAGCCTTGGACCAACTTTAAACCACGCTAAAGGTACACTCAAATCACCCTTAAAACACCCTTACGCTACACTTAAACCACGCTGTGGAGATGATTTTTACACCATTCCAGACCTCTCATTGAGAGCTTTGGAATGAGCCTCGTCCCGAGTGTCTACAATTGCGCATGCTCAGTAAAGAGTCGATTTTAATATTAATTACCTCCGGAAGTATACAAGCTGTACAGATGATTTTCAACTCAATCTAAAGATTTTACTCAATCAACAATTGGTAAGGTGTCTTTAATTAAGCTTTTTATCTTTAACATTGTACCGAAGAACTTCTCGACTGAAGAAATGTTTGATAATTTTAGGAAATGGAAAGTCATAATTTAAAAAACACGTCCAAATTGTGGTGGGGAAGGTTAGTTTAGCTCAACTCCGTCAATACACAATATACTGAGTACATGTTTGTAGATGTAGATCATCCAGGTTAGTAGAGTCCATAGAAGGACTGTTGGTGTTGATGTTGATTGACGTTTCGACAACCTTAGCGGTAGTCGTTTTATAGTCAAAAATACTACTGCTAAGATTGTCAAAAGGTCAGTCAACATCAACATCAAAATCCTTCTCAGGACTTTACTAACCTAGACGATCTACATCTAGAAACATGTAACGATACTCCCGGGCTCAAACAATTTACTTTATACTGAGTCCATTCTAAAGATTTTATTGACGTAGTGCGAATCCTTTTGAGATATCATGTTTTGGGCATTAGTATTTGCCAAATTTGATAATTTTTTTCAAGTAAAACAGACACGAGATTGCGAACATACGAATTAGCGTTTTCCATGCGACTAAACTATGAATAAGGCATGAAAATATGAGTTGTAGTTATTGCTTCTAAATGCAATTGCTTCTTCATATTTACAGCTTTCGTACTGATTGGTTGATCGAGAGGCAGGGAAAATGAGCCGAGCCTGAGTATCCGGGCGTGACTTATCCGACATTTGCCTGAAGTGCGGGCAGCATTATTTCTTCGGATATTGTTCACTGGCTGGCAAAAAACGAGAAATCTCTGAAACGTTATCAGGTATGTGATAGAAAAACCACGACGAGATTACAATGTTGAAAGTGACCTATTGATGTGTAAGGATGTAGTTCTCAGAGTACTACATATTGACACATGTTTTTTTTCTTTCTTGTGTAAAGGGGGAGGATGTCTCTATGGGTATTTGGTTATCAGCTATTCCTCCTGAAATTTATAATGCAAGATCTCCTGTTCTTCCCTGTAAGTTATTGACAGTTGTTCAACAAGATCCTTTATGGTGATCGTACTCCAACAATCTTTTTTCAACATCACGAGGATTCAATAGAAACGTTTGACATGACCGTTAAAATTTCTTCATCGGAAACGCTACTACCGTTTGGTAGAGCAATAAAACGATCAGCGTTTTTAATATCTTCTATTAAACTTCCACCTCTTTCCTCGCGTGCGAACACGCTACCATTGCTTGTGAAGCTGTCGGCAACGTTCGACTCCTTTCGACCAATTTTATCGGGAGATCCCGACTCTCGACCACGAGCGCTCTCCGTCTCGCTGTTGAATCTAGAGTGACGAGTCTCGCTACTCGTGGAAATGTAGCTGTTCTCTTGTGGACTTCCTTGTTGTCATCTCCCCTCTCGTTGTTGTTTTTATTCGCATGCTGCAAGTTTCGCAGTCAAATCACGTATTTCCTCCTGTGAAAAGTGTAAGGATAATGATTTTAATATGGGAATGTCATTAATTGAATATCAAATCGTCTTATTTCATATGTGTTAACGGATTCTTTGCTACAATTTCAATAGTTTTAATTGAGGATAATAATCACTCTAACTTGAGGATAATAATCTCTCTAAATTGAAGATGATAATCCCTCTAAGTTGGGGATAATAATCAACTATAAGTGATAATGATCACTTTTGCGTGTTGCGTGAGTTGAGATTTTGACAGTTGTTTAACAAAAGCATATTTTGAATATGAGAGGTATTGACGTCGGACATTTCTCGCTTTGCTTCCTTTGCAACATTACTCCTTTTACATTTAGGCAAGGTCAAAATTCGTTCGTTGAAATTTGGTGAAGAAGCCATTATCAATGAAATTGAAAGCGATGTGGTAAGTTTATGTTATGTTTCTATATCTTTAGATTATTCTTGGCTCGATGTTTTTCTTCAATCATATTTAGCAGATATAATCACTAACAACTTGATTTTCACGTTTGCTAGCGTCAGAAATACGTCTAAAGAGATATTGTGATAAAAGTCATCTCTTAAAAATCTATTGTATTTAATTATTGGTACTTAGGTGTGTGAAATGTAATCTTTGGAGTTGTTTGCATAAACTATAGTTTTTGAGTGTGAGGTGCATGAAATATAGTGTTTGCCGGCTAATTGTGTGAATTATAGTGTTTATGAGTTAGATGCAGGAAGTATAGTGTTAGTGAGTTAGGTGGATTCTTTATAATATTTGTGATTTAGGGGCATAGACTATAACAGTCAGGAGTTATGTTCATGAACTCTAGTCTTATGGTGTTAAGTGCAGGAACTATAGTCTTTGGGAGTCAATGTAATATAATATGAAAGAAATGCATGAGATTTCATGACAAATTAAATTTGCTGATGCATTGTAACTTTGCATATCATTATTTCATATTTTCTCACATTGTAGATCCCACATGGATGGAGTTGTGAAAGTCCCTTTACCACCTCTGTCATTCACTTCAATTACTCTTACTAGTTTTTCATTGCTCATGTGTCATGGTGATTCATGGCCAAGAATGTTTATTTGTAGTTTGGATTCTTTGTGTATGTCAGTTGTTTGTTCATATAATGATGATGGGCCCCATTATTATATGAGCCCACCTGAAGGTGGTCAACTGATACTCACAGAAGATCTACTCTGCACTAAACATTCTTTATGTGATGATATAACTGGGGTATTGAAGTGGTCCCTTTCCCTTTGCTGGAAGTTATATATAAAGGAATGAAGTAGCTACAAAAGAAGATAGAAAAAGTTTGGTTATAGCCGACATCATCAATAGAAAAGGTTTTGTGATAAATGATTATAGGCCTCTTGATTTATCTCTATTGTTCTTGTGAAAATCTCAATGGTTTTTTATTGATGGTACTGATTTTTGGTTTGTTTATTGAATGGCACATTTATGCCGTTAATTGCATAGAGGTGCAGATTATTCAGATTGTTGTGTAGACCTGCAATAAATACGACCTACAAAGTTTCCTTTACCTCCATACTTTCCTCTTTACCCGCACCCCTTAATATAATAGAGTACTTTGTTCACCCCTCTAGTGATTCCTCAGTACTACATTACGTAATTTTTATTTCAGTTGACATATTCGTCGTGTTTTTTTAAAGGCAACTTTTCAAACGAAGTTTGTGGAGTGGGGTCATCCTCCAGTTGGATGTTGCTCTCTAACTTTACCTCATTTATATGGTCGTTCACAGGTACAAGTGATTTTTTTATATTAAACGGAGGCCTGGGCACTAGGTCATATTTTGCCATGTTATGTATTTGAGTTGTATCCACGCCTATTGATCACTTTATATAAAAATTAAAATGTTTTCTTTTCTTGAACCTGAGAGGATGTGTTATGTTCTGAGGTGTTAAAAATTAACTGTGAGATTGAAAAGTAATTAAAACTACGAATAGCTTTATCTAAGTTCCCAAAATGCTTCACTCCCTCTCCTCCTCAAAAAAGTGTATCGTGAAACATTATTTTTTATGAAAAACCGAGATGCTATAAAAATTTTCATTTTGTCTTAAGGTGAATTTCCTTTAAATCAGGCCTTGTCTGTTATTCTATGCAGCACGAAACTCGACTGCTACATGGCAAAGGAACGGAATTGTCGCAGAAATTTTATCTTTCAAACATTTGGAGGAGGAACTCAATTAACGTATGCTGAGATTTTCACTAGTTTCTAGACAGGTTTGTGTGTCTATTTTTACGAGGGAGAGAGATTGGGCACTATTGGTAAGAGGAAGGAGTGGGGGTGGGCGGAGCTTAGCAACTGGAGGGAGAGGGACTGGACACGGGACCTTTGAAAATGCAATAAATTTCTATTGTTGTTCATGGACGTTCGCGTCGCAGATTATGAAAATATTTACAGTTTCGAACTTTTAGCAAATCCATGTCAACAAATAGTAAAGCAGCATATTTAATATTGTAGTGCCTGCGAGACACAAAGACGTTGATGGTCAGCAGTAATATGAAGAACTTGAGTTTAAAAATCACGAGGAATGCGATTTGTTTCAAAAGTACATCAGCAACGATGATATTGTGGATTGCATCGTAAGTTGATGGTGGACGAGCTTACAGGAATGACTTACCATCCAGGTATACTTGCGATCAGACTTATGGCTCGTGCTAATATTTATTGTACAAATAGGATAGTGTGTCCCAATGATCCGTTTGTAACCGTTACGCAGCGGAAATTGTATTCCTAATGATCCGTTTGTAACCTTTACGCAGCGGAATTTGTAGCGTTGTTTGTGTAAATCATTCGTAACTTGAGTTGAATAACAAAACATATTCGTTCATTTAACCACGATTTTTAAAATCTTTACTTTGGAGGAAAAAATTGCGTTTTAAATCAAGTTCCAAAACATAGAAAAAAAAATTTAGCTGGAAAATTTCGAACACTCGTTCTGTATCGTCGAAGTCATTGAGACTTCAGTGTTTACTGCTGGCGTAACGGACTTCTTAGTCGCAATAACCTTATTTTCTTGCGCATTTGTTGAAAAATGATGCAGTTGTTTAAAAATAAGTATAATTAATTAACGTATTGTCACGTGACATCAAGTAGATATTTTTCCAAGTGCTTTTGTACGCTTAACACTTTGGTGTAAATGGTTTTTATCAAACTGAATAAAATACACAGAAAGAAAATACATCGAAGATTTCATAAACAGGAATCAACTTAATGTTTCAACTATATTTTTCATATGCGTTGTAAAAAGTCATCACTGCTTGTGCGCACTCCTCCGAAAGCCATCTTTGAGCAAACAGTTCGCATTCTTTAGTATTCACATCGTGAAGTTTTTTCAGGTCAGCTGAGCGACATAATTTCTTGGACAATGAGAGCGACTGCAATGCAGAGAAGCATTGTATCGTTAAATGAAACCAAGCAATAACTGTAAAGTCCAGATTTGTGCTACCTTCGGCGGCAACGCAGCCACGTATTTCATTCTGTTGTTAATTTCTTTTTCAAACCCGGCTTGAGGAATAACTTCTGTTACCAAACCGTAGTTACAAGCTTCGACCGCAGTCAGTTTTTTTCCAGCGAGTAACATCTCATTCGCCTGAGTGCAAATTAATAAGAAATGTGTGACAATCATGCCTTAACTCTTAACTGCATTAAGATAACAATACCTTATATGTTTGTAAATGATGATCGTCCAGGTTAATAAAGTCCTGAGAAGGACTGTTTTTGATGTTGTTGACTGACGTTTCGACAACCTTAGCGGTAGTCATCTTCAGAGTCAAATGAGGAGTAAACGTCAGGTTAGCCGTATTTATTGTCTGGTTCTTACATCATTGTATTGTGTGTACAGGAAATGTGCAGGAAATGTGTATTGTCATTGTGGATTAGTGTGAAGTGAAATATTTTATTTTTAGTTGTGATGTGTGACTTATTCACAATACAAACAAACGATCAACTAAAAACATTACACTTCAAACTAATTCACAATGACAATACACAATTGACACCACACATTACAACTAAAAACGTCACACCTAAATCACACATCACAACTAAAAATAAAATATTTCACTTCACACTAATCCACAATGACAATACACATTTCCTGCACATTTCCTGTACACACAATACAATGATGTAAGAACCAGACAATAAATACGGCTAACCTGACGTTTACTCCTCATTTGACTCTGAAGATGACTACCGCTAAGGTTGTCGAAACGTCAGTCAACAACATCAAAAACAGTCCTTCTCAGGACTTTATTAACCTGGACGATCATCATTTACAAACATATAACGATACTCCCGGGTTCAAACCATTTACTTTATAACAATACCTTGTCAAAAATTGAGTTAACTAAGCAAGAAGAGCAGGGCTCAAAATAACGGCCAGGCAACGGACAATGATTTTCAAAAATGCCTATGTATCGGTAACATTTTCAGTTTTCCCATAATAATTTATTATTCGGTTTTCCTTTCAATATGCTTTTCAATATTGAGCGTCAATTTTTTACATATGTAAAAACCATGCTTTCTCTAGTAATTATATGCTGGCTAGTGGCTTGTTGCATTGAAGGATACGATTCCGTTCTCGTAAAGTGTGTCGTGAAAAGCGACACGCGACTTTGGCTGAAAAACGTGAAAAGTATATTTTGAATGTGAGATGTATTGACGTCGGACATTTCTCGCTTTGCTTCCTTTGCAACATTACTCCTTTTACATTTAGGCAAGGTCAAAATTCGTTCGTTGAAATTTGGTGACGAAGCCATTATCAATGAAATTGAAAGCGATGTGGTAAGTTTATGTTATGTTTCTATATCTTTAGATTATTCTTGGCTCGATGTTTTTCTTCAATCATATTTAGCAGATATAATCACTAACAACTTGATTTTCACGTTTGCTAGCGTCAGAAATACGTCTAAAGAGATATTGTGATAAAAGTCATCTCTTAAAAATCTATTGTATTTAATTATTGGTACTTAGGTGTGTGAAATGTAATCTTTGGAGTTGTGTGCATAAACTATAGTTTTTGAGTGTGAGGTGCATGAAATATAGTGTTTGCCGGCTAATTGTGTGAATTATAGTGTTTATGAGTTAGATGCAGGAAGTATAGTGTTAGTGAGTTAGGTGGATTCATTATAATATTTGTGATTTAGGGGCATAGACTATAACAGTCAGGAGTTATGTTCATGAACTCTAGTCTTATGGTGTTAAGTGCAGGAACTATAGTCTTTGGGAGTCAATGTAATATAATATGAAAGAAATGCATGAGATTTCATGACAAATTAAATTTGCTGATGCATTGTAACTTTGCATATCATTATTTCATATTTTCTCACATTGTAGATCCCACATGGATGGAGTTGTGAAAGTCCCTTTACCACCTCTGTCATTCGCTTCAATTACTCTTACTAGTTTTTCATTGCTCATGTGTCATGGTGATTCATGGCCAAGAATGTTTATTTGTAGTTTGGATTCTTTGTGGATGTCAGTTGTTTGTTCATATAATGATGATGGGCCCCATTATTATATGAGCCCACCTGAAGGTGGTCAACTGATACTCACAGAAGATCTACTCTGCACTAAACATTCTTTATGTGATGATATAACTGGGGTATTGAAGTGGTCCCCTTTGCTGGAAGTTGCGTATATAAAGGAATGAAGTAGCTACAAAAGAAGATAGAAAAAGTTTGGTTATAGCCGACATCATCAATAGAAAAGGTTTTGTGATAAATGATTATAGGCCTCTTGATTTATCTCTATTGTTCTTGTGAAAATCTCAATGGTTTTTTTTATTGATGGTACTGATTTTTGGTTTGTTTATTGAATGGCACATTTATGCCGTTAATTGCATAGAGGTGCAGATTATTCAGATTGTTGTGTAGACCTGCAATAAATACGACCTACGAAGTTTCCTTTACCTCCATACTTCCCTCTTTACCCGCACCCCTTAATATAATAGAGTACTTTGTTCACCCCTCTAGTGATTCCTCAGTACTACATTACATAATTTTTATTTCAGTTGACATATTCGTCGTGTTTTTTTAAAGGCAACTTTTCAAACGAAGTTTGTGGAGTGGGGTCATCCTCCAGTTGGATGTTGCTCTCTAACTTTACCTCATTTATATGGTCGTTCACAGGTACAAGTGATTTGTTTATATTAAACGGAGGCCTGGGCACTAGGTCATATTTTGCCATGTTATGTATTTGAGTTGTATCCACGCCTATTGATCACTTTATATAAAAATTAAAATGTTTTCTTTTCTTGAACCTGAGAGGATGTGTTATGTTCTGAGGTGTTAAAAATTAAATGTGAGATTGAAAAGTAATTAAAACTACAAATAGCTTTATCTAAGTTCCCCAAAATGCTTCACTCCCTCTCCCCTCCTCAAAAAAAGTGTATCGTGAAACATTATTTTTTTTATGAAAAAACCGAGATGCTATAAAAAATTTTCATTTTGTCTTAAGGTGAATTTCCTTTAAATCAGGCCTTGTCTGTTATTCTATGCAGCACGAAACTCGACTGCTACATGGCAAAGGAACGCGGAATTGTCGCAGAAATTTTATCTTTCAAACATTTGGAGGAGGAACTCAATTAACGTATGCTGAGATTTTCACTAGTTTCTAGACAGGTTTGTGTGTCTATTTTTACGAGGGAGAGAGATTGGGCACTATTGGTAAGAGGAAGGAGTGGGGATGAGCGGAGCTTAGCAACTGGAGGAGAGGGACTGGACACGGGACCTTTGAAAATGCAATAAATTTCTATTGTTGTTCATGGACGTTCGCGTCGCAGATTATGAAAATATTTACAGTTTCGAACTTTTAGCAAATCCATGTCAACAAATAGTAAAGCAGCATATTTAATATTGTAGTGCCTGCGAGACACAAAGACGTTGATGGTCAGCAGTAATATGAAGAACTTGAGTTTAAAAATCACGAGGAATGCGATTTGTTTCAAAAGTACATCAGCAACGATGATATTGTGGATTGCATCGTAAGTTGATGGTGGACGAGCTTACAGGAATGACTTACCATCCAGGTATACTTGCGATCAGACTTATGGCTCGTGCTAATATTTATTGTACAAATAGGATAGTGTGTCCCAATGATCCGTTTGTAACCGTTACGCAGCGGAAATTGTATTCCTAATGATCCGTTTGTAACCTTTACGCAGCGGAATTTGTAGCGTTGTTTGTGTAAATCATTCGTAACTTGAGTTGAATAACAAAACATATTCGTTCATTTAACCACGATTTTAAAATCTTTACTTTGGAGGAAAAATTGCGTTTTAAATCAAGTTCCAAAACATAGAAAAAAAAATTTAGCTGGAAAATTTCGAACACTCGTTCTGTATCGTCGAAGTCATTGAGACTTCAGTGTTTACTGCTGGCGTAACGGACTTCTTAGTCGCAATAACCTTATTTTCTTGCGCATTTGTTGAAAAATGATGCAGTTGTTTAAAATAAGTGTAATTAATTAACGTATTGTCACGTGACATCAAGTAGATATTTTTCCAAGTGCTTTTGTACGCTTAACACTTTGGTGTAAATGGTTTTTATCAAACTGAATAAAATACACAGAAAGAAAATACATCGAAGATTTCATAAACAGGAATCAACTTAATGTTTCAACTATATTTTTCATATGCGTTGTAAAAAGTCATCACTGCTTGTGCGCACTCCTCCGAAAGCCATCTTTGAGCAAACAGTTCGCATTCTTTAGTATTCACATCGTGAAGTTTTTTCAGGTCAGCTGAGCGACATAATTTCTTGGACAATGAGAGCGACTGCAATGCAGAGAAGCATTGTATCGTTAAATGAAACCAAGCAATAACTGTAAAGTCCAGATTTGTGCTACCTTCGGCGGCAACGCAGCCATGTATTTCATTCTGTTGTTAATTTATTTTTTAATGGTATTCTATGGTTTTCATTTGAAAATGTGTTCAAATGCATTAATTATAGCCTTTTGATGAAAATTTGGAACTATGATAAAATTCATTTTCAGGGGTTAGAATCCTTATTTTTGTAAAAGTTCTTTTTGATACGGAAAATGTCTTCAAATGCATGAATTACAATTCATGAAAATATGAAACTATGATAAAACTCATTTTCAGGGGGGGTAGACTCGATTTTTTTGTAAAAGTTCTTTTTGATAAGGAAAATGTGTTCAAATGCATGAATTATAGTCTTGATGAAAATATGATAAAATTCATTTTCAGGGGGGGTGGACTCAATTTTTTTGGAAAAAATCTTTCTGATGTGGAAAATGTATTCAAATGCATTAATTATAGTCTTTTGATGGAAATATGATAAAACTAATTTTCAGCGGGGGGTGGACTCGATTTTTTTGTCAAAGTTCTTTTGTATGTGGAAAATGTGTTCAAATGCATGAATTCCAATTCATGAAAATATGAAAATATGAAAATTTCGTTTATAGGAGAGGGGGTGGACTCAATTTTTTTTAAAACTTCTTTTTGATAAGGAAAATGTGTTTAAATACGTGAATTATAGTCTTTTGGTGAAAATATGAAAATATGATAAAATTCATTTTCAGGTGGGGTGGACTCAATTTTTTTGTAAAAGTTCTTTTGATGTGGAAAATGTGTTCAAATGCATGAATTACAATTCATGAAAATATGAAAATATGAAAAATTCATTTTTAGGAGAGGGGGTGGATTCAACTTTTTTTTAAAAGTTCTTTTTGATAAGGAAAATGTGTTTAAATACATGAATTATAGTCTTTTGGTGAAAATATGAAAATATGATAAAATTCATTTTCAGGGTGGTGGACTTGATTTTTTTGTAAAAGTTCTTGTTGTGGAAAATGTATTCAAGTGCATAAATTATAGTCTTTTGGTGAAAATATGAAAATATGATAAAATTCATTTTCAGGGGTGGACTCAATTTTTTCTAAAAGTTCTTTTTGATGTGGAAAATGTGTTCAAATGCATTAATTATAGTCATTTCACGAAAATATGGAAATATGATAAAATTCACATTCAGGGGGGGGTGGAATCCCTATTTTTGTGAAAGTTCTTTTGTTTTGGAAATGTATGAATTATAGTCTTATAATGGAAATATATAAATATGTTAAAATTCATTTTCAGGGGGGTAGAATCGATTTTTTTTAAAAAATCTTTTTGACGTGGAAAATGTGTTAAAATGCATGAATTATAGTCTTTAGATGAAAATATGAAACTATGATAACACTCATTTTCAGGGGGGTGGACTCGGGTTTTTTTAAAAAAATCCTTTTGTGTGGAAAATGTGTTAAAATTCATGAATTATAGTCTTGATTAAAACATGGAAATATGATAAAATTCACTTCCAGGGGATGGAATCCCTATTTTTGTAAAACCTCTTTTTGATATGCAAAATGTATTTAAATGCATGAATTGTAGTCTTTTTCTGAAAATATAAAAATATGATAAAATTAATTTTCAGGGGGAGTGGAGTAGATTTCCTTGTAAAAAATCTTTCTGATGTGAAAATGTGTTAAAATTCATGAAATATAGTCTTTTGGTGAAAATTTGAAATTATGATAAATCTCTTTTTCAGGGGCGATGGACACGATTTTCTTGTAAAAGTTCTTTTTGTTTTGGAAAATGTATGAATTATAAGTCTTTTGATGAAAATATAAAAATATGTTAAAATTCATTTTCAGGGGGGGTGGACTCGATTTTTGTAAAAAATCTTTTTGACGTGGAAAATGTGTTAAATGTGTTAAAACACATTTTCACATTTTCCACATCAAAAAGAACTTCTACAAAAAAATCGAGTCCATCCCCCCTAAATATGAATTTTATGTGTTCAAATTCATGAATGTGTTCATGTCATGAATATGTGTTCAAATTCATGAATGTTGCTCTTTTTGTAAAAATACGAAAATTTGATAAAATTGATTTTTAGGGGGGGTTGACTCACTTTTTTTGTAAAAATTCTTTTTTTCTGGAAAATGTGTTCAAATGCATGAATGTTGCTCTTTTTGTAAAAATATGAAAACATGAGAAAATTGATTTTCAGGGGGGGGTGGACTCAATTTTTTTGTAAAAGTTCATTTTCTTGTGGAAAATGTGTTCAAATTCATAAATGTTGCCCTTTTTGTAAAAATACAAAAATATGACAAAATTTATTTTCAGGGGTGGTGGACTAAATTTTTTGTAAAAGTTCATTTTCTTGTGGAAAATGTGTTCAAATACATGAATGTTGCTCTTTTTGTAAAAATATGAAAATATGATAAAATTGATTTTCAGGGGTGGTGGTGGACTAAACATTTTTGTAAAAGTTCATTTTCTTGTGAAAAATGTGTTCAAATTCATGAATGTTGCTCTTTTTGTAAAAATATGAAAATATGACAAAATTTATTTTCAGGGGTGGACTAAATTTTTTTGTAAAAGTTCATTTTCTTGTGGAAAATTTGTTCAAATACATGAATGTTGCTCTTTTTGTAAAAATATAAAAATATGACAAATTTTTTTCAGGGGTGGACTAAATTTTTTTGTAAAAGTACTTTCTCTTATGGAATATGTGTTCAAATTCATGAATGTTGCTCTTTTTGTAAAAATATGAAAATATGACAAAATTTATTTTCAGGGGGGTGGACTAAATTTTTTTGTAAAAGTCCATTTTCTTGCGGAAAATGTGTTTAAATTCATGAATGTTGCTCTTTTTGTAAAAATATGAAAATATGATAAAATTGATTTTCAGGGGGGGTGGACTCAATTTATTTGTAAAAGTTCAATTTCTTGTGGAAAATGTGTTCAAATTCATGAATGTTGCTCATTTTGTAAAAATATGAAAATATGATAAAATTTATTTTCAGGGGGTGGTGGACTAAACATTTTTGTAAAAGTTCATTTTCTTGTGGAAAATGTGTTCAAATTCATGAATGTTGCTCTTTTTGTAAAAATATAAAAATATGACAAAATTTATTTTCAGGGGGTGGACTAAATTTTTTTGTAAAAGTTCATTTTTTGTGGAAAATGTGATCAAATTCATGAATGATGCTATTTTGTAAAATATGAAAATTTGATAAAATTTATTTTCAGGGGTGGTGGACTAAATTCATTTTCTTGTGAAAATGTGTTCAAATTCATGAATGTTGCTCTTTTGTAAAATAAAGATAAAATTGATTTTAGGGGTTGACTCAAAAACTGGAAAATGTGTTCAAATGCATGAATGTTGCTCTTTTTGTAAAAATACGAAAATATGACAAAATTTATTTTCAGGGGGGGTGGACTAAATTTTTTTGTAAAAGTTCATTTTCTTGTGGAAAATTTGTTCAAATACATGAATGTTGCTATTTTTGTAAAAATATGAAAATATGATAAAATTTATATTCAGGGATGGGTGGTGGACTAAACATTTTTGTAAAAGTTCATTTTCTTGTGAAAAATGTGTTCAAATTCATGAATGTTGCTCTTTTTGTAAAAATATGAAAATATGATAAAATTTATATTCAGGGATGGGTGGTGGACTAAACATTTTTGTAAAAGTTCATTTTCTTGTGAAAATGTGTTCAAATTCATGAATGTTGCTCTTTTGTAAAATATGAAAATTGATAAAATTGATTTTAGGGGGTGACTCAATTTTTTGTAAAAATTCTTTTTTTCTGGAAAATGTGTTCAAATGCATGAATGTTGCTCTTTTGTAAAAATATGAAAATGACAAAATTGATTTTCAGGGGGGACTCAATTTTTTGTAAAAGTTCATTTCTTGTGGAAAATGTGTTCAAATTCATGAATGTTGCTCATTTTGTAAAAATATGAAAATATGACAAAATTTTTTTTTCAGGGGGGGTGGACTAAATTTTTCGTACAAGTTCATTTTCTTGTGGAAAATGTGTTCAAATTCATGAATGTTGCTCTTTTGTAAAATATGAAAATATGATAAAATTTATTTTCAGGGGTGGACTCAATTTTTTGTAAAAGTTCATTTTCTTGTGAAAAATGTGTTCAAATTCATGAATGTTGCTCTTTTTGTAAAAATATGAAAATATGATAAAATAGATTTTCAGGGGTGGACTCAATTTATTTGTAAAAGTTCATTTTCTTGTGGAAAATATGTTCAAATTCATGAATGTTGCTCTTTTTGTAAAAATATAAAAATATGACAAATTTTTTTTTCAGGTGGGGTGGACTAAATTTTTTTGTGAAAGTACTTTCTCTTATGGAATATGTGTTCAAATTCATGAATGTTGCTCTTTTTGTAAAAATATGAAAATATGATAAAATTGATATTCAGGGGGGTGGACTCAATTTATTTGTAAAAGTTCAATTTCTTGTGGAAAATGTGTTCAAATTCATGAATGTTGCTCATTTTGTAAAATATGAAAATATGATAAAATTTATTTTCAGGGGGGTGGTGGACTAAACATTTTTGTAAAAGTTCATTTTCTGAATGTTGCTCTTTTTGTAAAAATATGAAAATATGATAAAATTGATTTTCAGGGGGGTGGACTCAATTTTTTGTTAAAGTTCATTTTCTTGTGGAAAATGTGTTCAAATTCATGAATGTTGCTCTTTTGTAAAAATATGAAAATATGACAAAATTTATTTTCAGGGGTGGACTAAATTTTTTGTAAAAGTTCATTTTCTTGTGGAAAATGTGTTCAAATTCATGAATGTTGCTCTTTTTGTAAAAATACGAAAATATGACAAAATTTATTTTCATGGGGGGTGGACTAAATTTTTTGTAAAAGTTCATTTTCTTGTGGAAAATGTGTTCAAATTCATGAATGTTGCTCTTTATGTAAAAATATGAAAATATGATAAAATTGATTTTCAGGGGGGTGGACTCAATTTATTTGTAAAAATTCAATTTCTTGTGGAAAATGTGTCCAAATTCATGAATGTTGCTATTTTTGTAAAAATATGAAAATATGACAAAATTTTTTTTTCAAG